TTGGGGCCGGGTGTACCCGATTTTGGCCACTCCTCTTTTTTTCCTCTCGATCGGGGGGGGGCTGGCCTGCACGGAAAAAATATTCAAGATCCAAACGACCGTCTTTGATGTCAAACTAATCAAATGAAGGAATTGGTTAATCAAAAACAGTCGACACAATAATGACTGCAAGGTAGACAACGAGATCTCGCTCATTTTCGCGGCTACAGCAGCAGCAGCAGCGCTCGCGGGGGATAGGGGTCATCGCGAGAGTGTCGTGGCAGCGGCGGAACGAGCAACGAGGTTCGTCGAGGTATTCGGCTGACGTCGGAGCTCGAGAGGCACGCGTGCTCGTCGGACGACGCTTGCACCAAACGGGGGCCAGGTTTGTGTTTGTTATGGTCCGGTTTTCGTTTCGTCGCCAGACATGGACGGTCGAGGACGTCGTCAACAACGACGGCCACCCGGTCGATCACCGGATGACGATACCGACGCTTCCCCGCGTCAGCAACGCCGCCGCTCCGTTCGCATCGTCGTGAACACGGCGAGCGAGTCGAGACAGAGAGGAACGCGGGACACCACCAGAGGGACATCCCGTACACAGGAAAGGAACAACCGCACGTCGTCGGAGCAGGACGCGCGCACCCGCGCTCCATCGGTTGGGGCCCCACGACGTTTGCCGGGCTCTCGGTCGCAGGGACGCGGCATCGCAATGACTATGCCGGCTTGGCTGGTCGCACGGGGACTAGGCGGTACCAGCACCAATAGCCAGTTCGGCGGGCTGCAGCGGCACGCCGTATCCGCGACAAGCGGAAGCGTGGGGAGCGGCAGCGGGCGGCGAGGCGGCGAGGCGGGGGCGAACAGCCCCTCCGGTTTGCGGGGCTTGGTTATGGCACCCGCCGAGAGGTCTTTACCTCCAAGCTCTCAATCGGCGGGGAGGGGCCTGCATCGGACTGTCCCGGCGTGGCAGCTTGCCGGACGTGCAAACAACGGAAGCTGCGCTACCGAGAGGTCTTTGCCTCAGGGCTCTCAATCGGGAGGGCGGGGCTTGCATCGGACTGTTCCAGCGTGGCAGCTTGCCACGCGAGAGGACGACGGANAACTGTACCGGCGTGGCAGCTTGCCGGACGTGCAAACAACGGAAGCTGCGCTACCGAGAGGTCTTTGCCTCAGGGCTCTCAGTCGGCAGGGCGGGGCTTGCATCGGACTGTTCCAGCGTGGCAGCTTGCCACGCGAGAGGACGACGGATGTCGAGCACTTTACCGGGTGGGGGGGATGCAACAGGAGTCGGCATTAGAGACGGCCGACAGGGCCGGAAACGTCGGCNTTGAGGGTATAGCCGAACTGTCAGGTATCCTCCGGAGGAGGAGGAGGTCAACGTCGCTCGATGGGGGTGTTCCTGACCGACCTCAGAAGCGGCCTCGAGTGTCCTTTTCTCCGAGCACGCGTATTTCGCCGCAGCGGCCTCGACACGGAATTGCTTTGGGTCGCCGAAACGCTTCTCATCGGCCGGCGGGCGGTGAGGCGAGGGAGAACCAACGAGGGGTTCTCGCTGGCATCTTGCGGTTCGTGAGGTCGCCATTCCAGCAGATGGTACTCGCGAGGACTGGCCAGCGTGGGCAGGATTCACACACGGATCGTTCCAGTGACTGGGGAAGGCGGCGCCCCGGGGTCGCGCCGCCCACCGGGACCTCGGTTCCAGCACCGCGTCGACGTGGTACAAGCTCGGGAGGAGCGCACACAAGCGCTCCACCCCTTCCACCGCGAGCTCGTGCAGGAGCGGAGGTTTCGCTGGCCAATAGTAGGCCGGCAGCTAACAGAGACGGGCAAACGACGGCATCAGCAGATTTACGAGTCACAGCCGCACGGCCTAGGCACTCGTCCCAGCTCACGAGCATCTGCGCGTCGGCTACGGGGCATCCCGCGAGACCACGAGCATCGACCCCCGGCAATTCTCGGGAGGGAGCTCTTCTGGCGGCGCCACCCAATGCGGGGCCACAGACGCTAGACCCTCCGCGCTCTTCAGAGAGGACCCGGCCGACAGGCACCCCTTCAGCGCTACCGGGGGCTTCACCGCGGCCGGCTTCACCCGATGCGGCTGTTCTGAGGGATACAAATAGTGTGGCTGACAGCATGGACGTCGATCCGCCCCAGCCCGGCGCAGTTGCGCAGTCGTTAGTAGCCTCCCCCCAAGGTTCTATCGCGCACGCGGTCGTCAGGACTTCTACCCGTAGCACCCGAGAGGCCGCGGAGGCGGCCTTTCCACGTCCCCTCCCACCTGTCTTGGCGGCACGAGGGGCTTCGGCCGGGGGAGACGTAGGTACTGTTGGGAGCCTAGGTCCTTCATTAGGTAGCCATATCTCATCAAGGACACGGTTGCGCGTGCGGCGCGCTACGACACACACGGATTCTGCGACTGCGCCGGTCGGTCCGGCTCTCGCGTCTTCTGGGACGCCCACGTTGACTCCAGCCCGCCGGCCGCCGGGATTCTCGGAGATCGCCTTGTACGCGGCTGCTCCATCGGGAGGAGCGGCGCTAGAGCTCCTGTCGACCCCGCCGCGCACGGACGTATCAGCTTTGTCGGGAGAGTTAACAGCTCGCGTGGACGTGGGATCGCCGATGCCGGAGTCTCCCACCGAACCGTCGGAGGTTCCCACTTCCGGTTCCAGCGGAGAAGCTCCGCCAAATACCCGGGAGGGACGGAGCCCGGCAGACCAACCCACCCTCCCATCTGCTCGGCTGGCAGCGACGAGGCGCTCGGACGAGGGCGTCGACGGGACTCGGGACCAGGGGTTTGCCAACGAGGGCCGCATCTCGACGAGAACTCGGTCGCGCACCAGCGCCGTGGTCGGGCGTCAGGTATCTGCCGCCCCCCCTGTCCAAACATCAGCAAGCGCACAAGGCGTCACCGACCGCGCACCAAGACTGGGCCTCGACCCTTTCCCGAACGCTAATGCAGCGCCAGCAAAACCACCGTGCGCACGAAGTCGGCCCCTCGAAGGAAGCAGGCCACGAGGAGGCCATGCTGAGGAAGGGGATTTGCCGGGGGCAGACCCGGGGGAGACATCCCCCGAGGCAGACACCGGGGAGACACCTCCCGAGGCACGCCGGGGAGACTCTGCTCCCCCCTCGGGCCGAAGAACGGACGTAGCAAGTGCTGCAGTTGGGGAAGTCGCAGACCTGCTCCCCACGTGGCCCGCCGTCCCGATTACCCTCATCACACCAAGTCAACCGCAGTCAGGGCCCTCTCTTCCTTCGGAGGGGGGCAGTTCCCCCGAAACTCGTCACGTCGACCGAGTGGCCCCGCAGTCCCTGGCCCAGACGGATACCAGCGATCTAGCCCAGCCAACGGGTCGCCCGACTGCACTGCCCCCCGAGCGGTCGACGCCATCGCAGCAATTGCAGTCAGAGGAGCGTCCCCCCCGGCGGGAACAGTGTTCGTCGCATTCGCCGGAGCAACGGACAGTCGCCCAGCCTCGGGACACGTCTCCAACTACAGCGCTGGCCTCGCCGGAACACACGCCTTCTTCGGCCACCGCGGAAACGGCAGCAGCGCCTACTGAACCACTGGTGTGTGGCATCTGTTTAGGAGATGTCAGCGAACCGTCTGTGAACCTCGTTAGCTGCGGTCATGCGATGTGTGTGGGCTGCTATGCGAGGGCATGCGTGCGGGAAGTGGGCGATACCCTCCACTGTCCCATGTGCCGTATACGGTCCACCATCGCAGAGACGAGTACCAGCTCGGAACAGCAGCACGGGAACGACGTAGTTTCTGAGGCTTTTCGAGCAGCGAGATCGGAGAGGGACATGGCTCGCTCGACCGCACGGCAGGCGAGTGAAACGCACGCGCCTCGCCATCTCTGCGGAGTTTGTCACGAATCAATAGGTCAAGGGGCTGCCATGTCTCCGCCCTGTGGATGTCACTACCACACTCGATGCGCGGTGGGACTCGTAGAAGATCAACTGCACGACGCCCTGGCGAGCGGACACGACATTATTTCGTGCCCGCACCAGCGTACAAGACAGGATCACGGCTTCCAAGCAACGGTCGTTCTACCGGAGCACGCCAGATTCAACTTTTACGAAAANGAAGATCAACTGCACGACGCTCTGGCGAGCGGACACGACATTATTTCGTGCCCGCACCAGCGCACAAGACAGGATCACGGCTGCCAAGCAACGGTCGTTCTACCGGAGCACGCCAGATTCAACTTTTACGAAAACGAAGCGGATCAGCGGGCGTTAGGCGCGCGGATCGAAACAATCAGGGGCCAGCTGCGAGACTTCGGGCCGCGCATGCCGGTTCGCGTCGGAACGAGGAGACAACCCACAGAATCGCCGGCCCCGTCCACATACGTCTACACACTTTCTCCTCCTCCTTCGCCCGGCCCGTCACCACCTGCTCCGACTACAACGCCTTCTCCGCGAGGGGCGACGGACGGGGTCTGCGTCGTATGCCATCAGAACGGGGCTTGGCAACGCCCGCTTGTCACCGCGCCGTGCTCATGCAGGGTACATCTTACGTGCGCGATGACCTTCGTGGAGAACCACCTGCTCTCTACCGCGCCGTCGGACAGCTCTAGGATGGTGGCGTGCCCGAATCCAGCCGTGCACGATTCGAGGCGCGACATCTTTTGGCCCCGCCTCCTAGAGAAAGTAGCCAGCACGATCCCGGCATGTAGTCTCGCTGATGGAGAGCGGGAAAACTTGCAGGATAGGGTTGTAGCAGCTTGTGAGAGATTGCGCGAGCTTGATCGAGCAGTTGGAACGCGACGTTCCGTCCCCGACACACGGCCCCAACTCACCGGCGCGAACGGAGGCGGTAGCGCCGGATCGTGTTCGTACTGTAGACGCCACTTTGGGCCACCACCACAGGCCGAGGGACTCGAGCCTATCCAGATCCCGTGTGGACACCACGGGTCAGTGCACGCCAACTGCCTGTGGGACAGAGCCGACTAGATAGCACACGGACGCGTGGATCCACGACCATGTGCCAACTGCTCGCAGGAAGGATCGAACGGACGACGACCTCCTCATCCCGCGGAACTTGTCCAGAACCACGAACTGCCGCACGCCGGGGGACGGTGGGACTTCCTGAGGGAGGCAGTGTCTTTCGCATCCGAGATAGAGGGACATTTCGAGACATGGTCTATGTCCGAATCCGGCGCGGACCCGGCGGGGCATTTCGACTCCTTCGAGAGTGTGGTGCGGGCCCACGGGAGAAGTGAGACGGCTTCCTGGCTCCTGGTCACTCTGTTCTGCGACGTATTCGGGATGGACAGAAGCGTTTACATATACTTCCCTCGGGGCCGCAACGAGGACAACGGGTGGGACCGGTTGGTCCAGAGATACCGCTCTACATTTTACGCCCATGGAATACGGCCGTATCAGGTGCTGTTGCGGCTCCCCCGGGGCAGAATCTACATTGCGCCACACGTACAGGAATACCTGGTGCACCTGGACCAGGAGTGCGAATCGCATCTCACATTATACACCGTAGCAGTACAGAACGCCCTACGCAACCCCGGCCAACCTCTGCCGCCATTCCCGCGGGTAGGGGGGGTGACTCGGCGCCACGACGACTGGGATNATCTACATTGCGCCACACGTACAGGAATACCTGGTGCACCTGGACCAGGAGTGCGAATCGCATCTCACATTATACACCGTAGCAGTACAGAACGCCCTACGCAACCCCGGCCAACCTCTGCCGCCATTCCCGCGGGTAGCGGGGGTGGCCCGGCGCCACGACGACTGGGATGAACACCATGTCCCACCCCACCAAGGAGGCGAAACCAGCAGAAACACAGTGACCCCGACTGTCGCGGCCCCACGAAGGGTGACGGGAGTTGGCATCGACCCGGACTTTGACATGGGAAGCGGTCCAGAGGAAGAAGAAGTATTGTTGTCCCCGAGGAACCCATCCACAACAGCACACGTCACCAGTCGGACGAGCCCTCGAGTAAGACCCGGGGAAAGAAGCCAATCACTAGGAACGCCAAGGCGGCGCAGACCATCTGCTCGCGAGCGTAGCGGATTATCGGATGACGCTACTACATCGGGTGAACGTCGACGAACTTCCTCGGAACCACCTCGAGGCGGAAACAGGCGACGCCGGCAGGGAAGTGAACCGGATCCAGACGGTGAGTCGCGAGAAAGAGGAACGCCATCACATCCGGCACCCGCACACCGGGGAAGGGGCTCGGGGGGAACGGGTACTCCGGGTGCCGATGACCGAGCGACCAGGGACGGGGACGCTGGAGGAAGCATGGAACCTGGCGCCACGGGGAACAGAAGCGATCACCCTCGTTCCAGTACCAGATGCGGAGTGTGCTGGGGTCAGGTCATCAAGGGACAACGTGTGGTACAACCCCCTTGCGGGCATCCCATCCACGCAAGATGCGTACTATCTAGCCTGGAGGGACGCGGAGAACGCGCGCTGCTTGAGTGTAGAGTGCACGGGTGCGGGGCCCAACACTCTCAGAGGGACAGCCTGGAGGCGGCGGTTCAAGCTGACCCGGGGCTGCAGCTACGAGCTGAAAGACTGATAAGGGGGTTAAACGACGAACCCCACGGAGCACGTTCGCTGTACATCTGGAACCAAGACAGTCCGGGAATAGGGCCTGCTTTGGACGATGTCCGCATGGATGCTCTCACATTCAGGTTCCAGACGGTGAAGAAAGTTCAACCTAGGTATGCTTCCGACCATGCCCGTCTCCAAACCCACGTGCTCCACCTGGTTAACAAGCAGCTGGCAGAAGGCGGCGGCGCTTCCTCGGCGACCGGGACCCCACTTTCCACTATCCGGGTCATCACACTTTGGTACCTACTACCAGGTATTCTGCACTCCTTCGATGGTCGGATAGCTCGAAAAAAACGCCACAAATCGCTAAAAAGAGGGGATATATCGTCCGCTCTTCCTTGGCTGATTGAGTATACCAAGGCGGCGAGTGCAAGGAGCAGGGGACCGGCACGGGAAGACACACCCGACGACAAGTTTAAAAGGGCGGCGCAGGCATGCCGGCACTCTGGAGGCGTGAAGGACGCAGCAAGAGCGCTCTTCGCCGATCAACCGTCACTGGGGAACGACGAGACATGGGCATGTCTGAAAGCCGAATTTCCGCATGAGGATCCCGTACAAGTGGAGCAAGCCGTCGCCGAAGCCATAGCTGCAAGCCGCACCGAGGAGGAGGGAGGAAGTGCCCCGAGATGGAGGCCAGAAACCGAGTTCGCTCCACAAGTACTCCTTCAAGTCATCAACAGCAGAAGCTCTAACTCTGGAGCAGGAAATGACGGGCAACGTTTCTCCCACCTTAAGTCCATCGTCAACACTAAAATTGGTCGGGAAGAGTTCAGCAACGCGATGTCGTCCCTTTGAAGGAGGCGCATCAACGATCCCAACGCGTTCCCACCGGAGTTCTGGACTCTTTGGAAACAATCCAGTCTAATCGCCCTCGGTGAAAAGTGCCGTCCAGTGTGCATTGGAATGACTTGGAGAAGGCTGATTGCAGCGGGAACGGTCAGGGAGTGGAAACCGAAACTGGAAGAAATATTTCGGGAAGCGGACCAATTCGGAGCGGCGGTAGTTGGAGGAGTTGAACAAGTTGCGATGGACGCACAACTGGTTCATCAGACAGGTCATTGGGTAGTCCAGACGGATTGCTCAAATGCCTTCAACACGGGCAAGCGCACCGCCATAATGGCCCAGGCCGCAAAGAGCGTCCCAGATCTCGTGGGGTACATCGCCAGGTGTTACGACGAAATCCCGGCAAAGGCGATATACACGATGGACTCCGGAGAGCGTCGGACGATCGAGTGCAAGAGCGGTGTGCAGCAAGGAGATGGAATGGGACCGCCCCTGTTCTGCTTCATCCTAGTCCCGATCGTCTTGAAGCTTAGAGCCAAGTACGACCACCTCGGGGTATGCTTGAAAGCTTATATGGACGACATCAGCCTGCACTTCAAAAATATCACAGCGGAGAATATTCAGGTGATACCGGACGTCGTCGACGAACTAGAAGCAGTGGGCATCATCGTCAACAGGGGGAAGAGCTCAGCGCTTCCCCCACCAGGGCACGACGTGACGCCAGCAGAAAGGAGGCTACTTGGCGATGCAGGCCTACCGATTGCGGAGGAGGGCATCACAGTTGTGGGAGTCCCCATTGGGACGGATGCCTACGTCGAGGATATCGCAATGAAAGTGATAACTGAAGGGGGTGCAGACAAGCTTGCTCGCATGCTGGTGCGCATGCCAGACAAACAGGTGGCTCACCTCGTCACATCACAATCGCTGACACAGCGATCCGGATATATCGAGAGAGGCATCAATCATAAGCTAGTGAAAGGGGCTTGTAAACGCCTGGACAATATGGTGATGTGGGTCCTAGAGGCAACGATGGGGCTCAGAGACACCGAAGTCGAAGAAGAGTTCTTCCAAGACGACTGCCAGCCTGACCGCTTCAAGTTAAAGCCCTATCAACAAGCCCAGGCGCGCCTGTCGACAGGAGCCGGAGGACTAGGATTACCAGCAGCCGTTATGCGAAGGTTCTCAGCTTCTCTGGGCAACCTAGTCGGCACCCTTCCTGCGGTTATAGCCGCGTTACGGGGTCCATTGGGAGAGTCGGTGAGAGTTCCGATACCGGGAACCGTGTTGGTGGAGCAGATGGGGGACGCTATCAAAGAACTCAACCAGGAGCATGCAATATCGGTGGAGATTCTGAAGGGGATCCTTCCCCCGTCATGGGTTGAGTGGGCCTTAGAACCGCCAGGAGAAACCGGAAGGCGTCAGCCCACCGTTGCAGAACTGGCAGCACACGATGGGGAATCTACTACGCCGAGGAAAGCCCAGCACAAACTGGGCAAGGCGATTAACAAGATACAACTTGAAAAGTTCATGGAGTCTCTGGAGCACCTCCCTCAGTAGGCGGTACCACCCACGAGGGACAACCCCTACGGAGGTCAAGAGGCCAGGAATATGGCATACGCACGAACGAGAAGCTCGCAAGGGCAAGGGGGACATGCGTTCCTGATTGCGGCTCCCACCGACCGAGCTCGAGAGTTTCCATCGAACGAATTCGTCTACGCGACGAGACGCGCCTTGGGAGTTGAAGAATTCTTGGCGGAAAGATGTCCCAGGTGCCACAGAGGCAGGGAAGGCGAGATCATCACAACGGTGCACGCAAGGACCTGTCGAAGGGATGGAGCACAGGTCAACATGCACGAGCCGTTAAAATATGCACTATCGAGAGCACTCAATGGCCTTCGCGTCAAACACGACGTTGGAAGCGGGGCACCGTTCACGGGGGAAAGAAACCTGAGCATGGACATCGTCATCAGGCCAGGAGCCCTCACGAACGCATCTTCTCCGGGGTAATACAAGAGGACATCAACGCAGTAGTATTTTAGCAAGCTTGCGAACGCATAAAGGATACCATGAGGATGTCATTGGTTTTGTTTCAAATTGAAGAGGAGATATTTTTACGATATAAGTGACAGTAGAAATAAGTCCTACATATGTTGTTGTACTTCGTATTGGTTTAATATTCATGTAGAGTATGAGACACTAAGTGAAAGTTTTCTGAGGTACATCTGCAATTGTCGAAATGCAAACAAAATAATAATGATAATAATAAATAGTCGTTACTTCCGCTTTTCCTACTTTTCATTAGGAATAAAACAACGTTGTACACCATTACCAAGAGCTACAACTTCATATTTTGTTCTTGTAAAATGAAATTGACATTGAAGAGAACCTAAGTTTTCAAAATAAGGAAATAAAGGTAACAATTCTTGAAAAGCAAAAATATATCTTAAAAGGAAACAATGTACTATGAGTAGTATATTGTCATGTGCTGGAGATCGTGAGCCTTCAAAATGTTTTATAATTGGTAAGGCATCAAATAAATGTTTACATAAAAACACAATCTAGGCATGTGATGTCACAAGAATCACAGGCCAGGGAGAGACCGAGAGATAGAGAGAGTCAGACTGAGACCGACAGGCAGACACAGGCAGACACAGGCAGACACAGAGCGAGAGCGGGAGTAGAAGCAGGGTGCAAAACCAGACCGACTGCGAGGCTGTGCATCAGCCCCCCTGTCGTGTTTGGTTGGGCTGATGTGCGCTCTTCGCTTTTGTTTTTCCTTGTACTTTCATTGGGTCTTCTTGCCTGCACGCAGGCATACTTCACCCAATTTTACGTGTGTGCCATCACTTCCAATTATCGTGTAATATTACCACAGCACAACTTAATTCGGCTACACAAACTGCAAGAAAAATAATTATGATTTCGGGGCAAGTGCACGCAATAGCCACAGCAGTGCATCACACGCAACCATATTTGCCAGACCTACCCAAGTACTGTGTGAGTGGCGTCGCATGCCTTGACAGCAGTACTGCGGTAGAAGAAACCCAGAAACTACTTAAACCAAAGTTTGTGTAGAGATAGAGAGGGAGTTACGTACATGAATGTGCAGAATTGTGTGGGTGAGTTGGCACGTCGCCGCCGTTCTTCAAGTAAGCGTGAATCCCCGATGATCAACAAGCGGATTGAGCGCGAGTAGAGGCTTGACCCAACGCACAGATAAACTGCTCGGTCTACAGTGCGGTCGGCGGCCTAAAACGCTTTTCATTCGAAAAATACACTTGCTTGCTGTCGCGGTTGAGCTTTAAGTCCTCACAAAGTAAAGCTAATCGGTAACTGTCCGTTGGTGTTCATTCCTTGTAGTACTTTTCCAGTCTACTATTTTTGTGCAGCCGGGCATGACCATCATGACGTTGGGTGGTGAGTGATGTCAAGAAAAAATACACCTTAGTCTAATGATGATGCCGCCGGGAGTTGGCAACCTCGGGTACTCACAGTGAAGTAGAATGAAGAACGAGAACTGAGCACAGGTCAACATGCACGAGCCGTTAAAATACGCACTATCGAGAGCACTCAACGGCCTTTGCGTCAAACACGACGTTGAAAGCGGGGCACCGTTCACGGGGGAAAGAAACCTGAGCATGGACATCGTCATCAGGCCAGGAGCCCTCACGAACGCATCTTCTCCGGGGTACCGCAACGAAGGAATACTCCTCGATGTCACACACGCAGACCCGCAAGCACAGGTACACTTGCGGAACGGCAGCGCGACCAGCGATGGAATCGCAGCCCAAGCATCCGAGGCGCGAAAGCGTCAGCACTACGCTCGTCCGGGACACGTGTCCTTTGACGAACGCAGCTTTAAACTTACCACCTTAGCCGTGGAAAGCTTTGGCCGCCTTGGAGAGGAGGGTTACGAGTTCATCGATGAACTTGCGACACATGCCGTGGGAGGAAGGGACGGAGGAACGATGGCTCTGAAAGGAGTCTTCAAGGAACGACTTCTTCAGATCGTTTCGGTGGCTACACAGGTGGCCATATCTCGGCGAGTGCAGAGGTACAAGCTCGCATTGCGCGGGCGTCAAGACGCCGAAAACAGGCGAACAAGATCGACCTCGGACCAGTCAACGCCAATGATATGGGGATGGAGTGTAGACGCATCGTAGAACGCGTTTTCGTTTGAAGTTGGCGTCTTGTTTGAGAGTAGATGTGACAGATTTGCGTAGAATAGGGTAAGATGTTATCATGAACGGAGATGAAAGGGCTTTTCCAACACGGAGATGTAGCATGGATCAAAGCATTTGTTGGATTTCAGCTTTTACAAGCGGACATCAACGCAGTAGTATTTTAGCAAGCTTACGAACGCATATAGGATACCATCAGGATTGTCATTGGTTTTGTTTCAAGTTGAAGAGGAGATACTTTTACGATGTAAATGACAGTAGAAATAAGTCCTACATATGTTGTTGTACTTCGTATTGGTTTAATATTCATGTAGAGTATGAGACACTAAGTGAAAGTTTTCTGAGGTACATCTGCAATTGTCGGAAGGCAAAAATAAATAAATAAATATACTAAAATGAACCACAGAAAGCGCCTGGAGGCATTCCAACTAGTCGAAATACATAACGTTGCTGGTTCATGGCATGCCCCTGCAGAGGGGTTACACCATGGGCAGCAAATTAATGACGCTACGCTGCACTGCACCATCACCATCCCCCAAACCAGTGTACAGTGGTGAGTTTTCCCAGCCAGGCGTCAGGAGCCATTGCCATTCATTATGTGTTGCTCTCATTTGGATCTCACGGCCTGAGCGTTGACATGTATCACATCGTAGCGGTTGTGACAAATCAATTTGCTTCGAAGCCATGATCCGGAGTATTGAACAATACGGCTCGTCCGTACGCAAAGTACCGTGGTGTACTCTAGGTTTGCAATGAACACACCTCGGGTGAACTCGGCCCTACTGTGGTGTTGAGGTTATGCCACGCCCCGCTCGGTTGGGAACGAAGGCGGTGCTGAAAGATTGGTGGGGAATACCGAGAGCAAAGACGCCGTGCAGTTTAAGGTTGGAAGGACGCCGATCAATGCCGAGTCTCAGTTTTAGCCTCATGATCCTTGTTGATGCAAATAGAATAAGTATCAGGATGCCCTCAACCAGCAGCGGCATATAATCTACGCCCTATTTCAACAATTCTTGCAGTTTTTCACAACCATGAATCTTGGAAGTGGGATTGGTTTTTGTATGTAGAGGGGGCACCAACAAATCACACTGTTTCAAATACCATATATTTTCTTGGGAATATTTGCGTATTTCACGGAAATTCTGTTCCACCCCACCCTCTGCCGCTTGCAACGCCTGGGCCGAATGACACGCGTAACATTTCCAAACCTTGATCAAGAATTTCACTCCACTCGTTCCTGTTACGTTACGTGTTTGTGAAAGTTTAAGTTTCGCTCTTTCTTGCAGATGCATTGAAAACGAATTTCGACCCTCTCTTTTTCGCGGTGTCCAAGCGAGAATGCGCACGATCACTCTCGTGTTGCCCGTCATGTTCTCTTCATTCCGTGATTTGAACAAGCATGCATGCAGGTTCTGCCACGCAGTCCCGGTTTCAAGCCCGACATGCCTTGCCTGCCCCCCCCCCCCGACCTGTTTTATGCGGACCTATGGTTCTGCCCATGTGAACAACACAAAAAAGGCGCAAGACCAACGGCTACTTTTGGTATTCCTACCAACACGGGCGTTGTGAACTCAACGGTGCGAGACAGGGGATGGCGTCAATGGGAGTTGAATACGTTATTTTACAGAAACCCGGCAGCCCTTCGAGCACTCATGCCACGTGTGGTCGAGGTCATTCTTTCCCATTACAATGCGTGCTTCTACGGCATAGTCTATGACGCTTCATTACCGGAAGATCGTCGAAACATGGACGCCATCAGCCCATCCCCATGTCGAAGATAAATTGCCAACGCGAACGTGTTGAGTAGACTAACGGACAGCCTTCCGTTTTGTATGACTATGAACACGGGACGTGGTGAGAATCATGGCCACTTAGTACCATCGGCATTGTACCGGACATACGGCCGCAACGCGATCGTATCACAACAATGCGCCGCATCGAGCGGGGAAGACCAGTGCCATTGCTGTACAAAGGACACGGTCGCGAACTACACAGTGCCTCAACCTTCTCGTGACAGAGCCTCCCCCGCGTAAATTCTGAAACAGGTTCAAATCCGACCAACTCGCCCCCTGGGGGATCTCGACTCACGACCTTGCTTGCCTGATGTACATTGCGGTCACAGGTTGAAACCCGTATGCTAAAAAAGCACGCAACGCTCTCTCCACCACAATTGATCGCATGCACGCCATCCATGATAAAATTAACGCCATCCATGGTAAGAATAATGTCTTTGTCAACGGCTTCGACACTGTTAGTAGTTGTTCGCAGCGCCGACACACAAAAAAATCAGCTTGCCATCCATCCATTCACTGCTCGAAGAAGCTGCGAGTACCGAAGTGCAGATCTCCACCGCGGATGACGCGTTTGCCACTAACCTACCAATTACTCCTCTAAGAACGCTCAGTATCTTTACTTCAAATGTCCTCGACAGAATGAATGCACGTCATTCGGCTGCGACCTCCAGCCCAGTCAGGGTCATGCAATCCTCCCCAACTTCTCACTTGTACCTTCCTGCTTGAGGCGTGTTGAAGCAACAACTGAGCGGGTACATCAATTTCTGGGGAGAACCTCAAGCATGTCTACAAACTAAATACAAGGGATCGGCGGAGTACCGACATCACAAGAGTCAAACATGAAATTGAAAGCCAGCGGTCTCCTGTACAATCAAGAAAAATCTCCCCATCCACCCCCAGACTCTGCAAGCGTTACACTACCTCTGCCGAATGCTTCTCACGGGGGCATGCGTTTGCAAAATAAACTACTGAACTTGCTTGCGCTCCGTACCTTTGGTTGTAGTTGTCTACACTATAGAATAAATCTTCTCGACAGGATGAAACTAGCAGCCAAGGGCCACGGCCACTCACCAGATGCAGCGGGATGACTCACCGCCGCGTGACAAAAGAAAAGAAAAGATAAAAAAGAAACCTCTACCAAGCACGAGGAACTCACAGTAGCATACCTCTGGGCAGCCTCTTACCGACAGTTGTTGGGGGTACACCTGACACCGGCCAAATATCAAGACGCACGTCAGTTGCTTCCTCCTTAACCCGAGCCCCTCCCCCTCCCCGCACTGTTCGTTTTTGTTGCGTCCCCTTCGCAACGTGTGTACAGCACCTACAACTTCATCAACAACCCATACAGTGAATCCTACGTTGTACGCCCATACTCACCACCACAACGTATCAACCGAAAAAATAGTGAATCCCACGATGTGCAACCATCCTCAACATCGCAACCTATCAACCGATTTAGTGCATCCTACGTTGTCCAACCAACCATCCTGACGGAAAAATCATCGAAAACTCGCGCCAAGACGGGCTGTTCAAGCGAAGGATTTTCATCACATTGAAGCAAATGCATGCACGCCACAAGCTGAAGAAACCAACCCAATAAAGAGGCCACAAATCATTTAAAACCCACATTGCCAAGAGCTCGCAGTGCACCCTATCAGCAAGATACACGACACCGACCGGATAAAAATGCAACAAATCATTCGAACCCAACTTGGCAAGAACTTGCCTACAGTACTAGTATGTATCGAGGGTATCTGCGATGTCACAGCCAACGAGAAGTGGCACACGCCAAGGGACCTGCATACCTCTCCCTGCCAACTCTCCAGAAACTCAGCCGCTCACTATCGGTAAAACTTCGTATTGGTTATTATATACATATTCGAAGTATTGGACCAGCACGGAGAGTAGAAGGTGCTGGGCGGAGACCGGAACTTCTCTTTCATGTGATGTGAAGACAACAGCACAATATAGTGCATGAAGTCCTGGTCCCTGGGATTGCGAAAGCACATGCACACAAAACGATAAATAACTGCGTCGGTCACAAGAGGTGTGACGCAAATATGAACCCCGAGTACCACGACACGAACAGGCAGACACTTCAAAAATTGGTTCAGCACTGACAGGATACCCTACATGCACATTTCACTGCTCGCAAGTAATTTATGGTTGGGTCTGCTTCTTTCGACAAGGAGAGGGGGTGCCACGCGTTGCATGGACTGTCGGCGGTAGTGATGGCGATGGTCATGTGACAAGTGGCCTTGGAAGACATGGTTGCTTGTGCAACGTACCAGGCATTGACCCCGCAAAAATTACGTATCCTTCCCTCAAAATAAACATTACAACGCCCCGCCCCCCCTCATGAAAAGAGGCACCCCTCTCCC